ATATATGACGTTAAGTAGGAAATGTAGTTTTGGTTTATTGTTTGATATTTCCGGTACACTTATATAATAATTTAGACAGATTCTGACTTTATTACAAAGCCGTTTTGGCAGAGTAATTTCGAGCCCAGTATCATGACGAAGGCCTACGCGGGTCATTTATGCAACGAACTTGCCGTGTATCTTGTGCAGAGCAAGCTTTGACTTGCAGAGTTCGCGCTTACAATACCCAGAAATTTGACTTGTGCTTCTCCCAGAGAGCAAGTAAATCTGTTAGTTTGCTCAGCTAATTAAGAGTACATAGTAATTTTTAAGACTAATACTAGATATATTGAAAGGTTTTGTATTTCTCTACCACGGACCCATCCTTTTCGCAGTTCTCATTTTCATAAGTGTCGATACGATGAATCTTGCTGTAATGTGTCAGGTGTAGCCACACAAGGTTACAGTATTTGCCAAGACACAAAGTTGATAGCCATGGCGCGATTATTTAAAGAATGTCAAATCTTTAAAAAAAGAAGGCGTATGGCTGCACTCTTATGCGGTGCTTCTCAAACCGTCGCAACCGTAGCAACCGTAGCCATTTAATAAAGGACTTATTGAGGCTTACCTAACTCTATGTCTGTGAAAGATTGCGCTTGTAAAGCTTTTTATCAAGCTACTTCATGGCACAGCAACCGCATGCCGAAAGCAAAGTGATCATCGCCGCTCATTAATTATCAAAAAATCATTCTTCCATTGATCGTTTTCAGCTTAGTCACAGAAACATCATGGGTACGCCAAGTATTACAAATTCACAATTTATTTGGCCTAAATTTGTATCAAAATCGAAAGGCAATTCTTGTGGTACTGACTGACCTGACAGAAATATTTAGGCGGACAGTTTTGTAGTGTAATCTTTGTTTTTGATGGCTATTCAACAGCGTCCGACATGCATTACTAGAAAATGATATCAGACTGCGCTCTTAGAAATTTGGCGGTCATCTTGCGCGAATTAAACAAAAAACAAGTTGCTACCTGTTCTGCATAATTAAAAATACCGACAGGATATTTTATAGTAACAAGAACAATTTATATTAACAAGAGATGTCTATGAGCTGAGCGATTATATTACCTGATGCGTGTTTCGCACCATTTGCTGCAGCATGTCTCGGGCATAGCGCAAGCGTTTGGCAAGATCTGGTCGATCTGACGTCAAAATTGCCGATGATGAAGCTACAACGATCAAGTCACCGTCGCGGTTCAAATACGTCACAATGCGAGCGTTTGAGGATAGCATAACTTTCGATTTGTCAAAAAAGTTAAATTGAATAGTCCCGTTGGAAAGCTGAAAGAGCACTGCGTGGCGAGTCTTGACCCACTTTTTGACGAACACCATAGTTTGAGCCCCACCGTCGTCAATATTTCCTTCGACAGCACTAGTGTTGATGCCATCTGGCCGAGACAATAGCACAAAAGAGCGGGCCAGCTGGTTTTCCAAGACGTCTGCTTCGTCATTTTCGGCGCGAGCATCAACCAAATAGCCTTTAAAGTGACCAAGAAGTGTCACTTTCTTTTTGATCGCCGGATCATAGTTATCCATCGTATAACGAACTCGAAGTCCTGGCGCCAGCTTCTGATTGTTCTGACGTTCAATGTACTCAAAAAACTTTCCATCCGCTGACGAAATTATTTTAGTGGAGTCGTTGAAGTATACACCAGATTCACCATTCGAAAGCATGTAGCCAATGCCGTATTTAGAAGTGTAATCGACCCATTGAGATATCCACAGGCTAGCTGGAGAAATAACTCGAGCTTTTTCGGTCTCTTCGCATATTTGCTTTAGCTCTTGGGCTTCAGCAACAAGATGTGCAGCAGAGGAAGAAACATTTGGACTCTGCTTTCCCTCATCTATATTTCGCCTGTGCTCTTGAAGAAAAAAAAGCTGAGAAAGGATTTTGTAAGCTGCCTCCAGGACGTTTTGAAATGGGGCCAAGGTTTCTATAGCTTCCATGCGTACTTGATTTTCAGCTGCAGTGCAGGTAGTTCTTTTGCTCGAGCTAGGTAGTTTAGAAACATCATCCTTAAATTGAGGGGGCAGCGATTGTACTAACGGTGATGCCCCTGGGTCAGGTGCGCGCTGAAGATCGGTGTAACCATTTCGCATACGTAGAGGATATCTGTTTGATGCCGCTGATGGCGGAGGAACTCTCATACCGGTCGATTTGGCCATGTGGTCGATGCTAGTGTGTCGACTAGTGAACGGGATTGGCTTACACGATGGTGGGGTGACAAGTAGCGCCGTACGGGGTAATGACGTAGGCACAAACTCATCAGCCACAAAAGGGTGCTTCAGAATTTGGTCTAGGGATGGCCGGGTTCCCGGATCACTCTGTAAAATACCGCGGATAAGGGACTGAGCTGAACTTGAGATGTGCACCGTGTCGGGAAAGTCGTACTGGTTAGCTCGGATGCGTTTGTAAGTGGCCTTGACATCATCAGTCTCGAATGGAGGTCGTCCGACCAGCAAAGTGTACATGACTACTCCCGTGGACCAAACGTCAACTTCAAAACTGTGGCCGTCGCCGCGCTGTCCGCTTAAAATTTCAGGGGCAATGTAGTTCGGTGTACCACACATTGTACGCTTGCGATCTTCAGGATTGTCGAGTCGAGCAGCAAGTCCAAAATCACCAATCTTAAGCTGCATGTCCGAAGTGAGAAAAAGATTTCCTAGCTTTAAGTCTCGATGGATGACCAAATTTTTATGAAGATACGCCAATCCTTCGATTAACTGCCTCATGTAAAATCTTACTTCGCTCTCAGACAATCGCTTTCTTCTCCGCATTAAATCCGACATGGACTGATTTCGACATAGTTCTAGTAATATGTATGCATTGTCCCCATCCTCAAAAAAGTGTTCGAACTGGACAATCTGCGGGTGATTTAGCGACTTGTGAATTTTAATCTCCGACGTAAACTAAAATCAAAAATCCGAGAAAGTACATATAACGATAAAATCAATCAGCAATAACCTCTATGTCATCCTGCAAGGCTGCAACGCCCTCACTTTCTGTTTGGCTTTGGGTTTTACCAACGAGCTCTTGGCTACCACTTTAACCGCATAAATCTTCCCCGTCTGGCTACATTCCAGCTCATAGCATCGAGCGAAACCTCCCTAAACAATACAATCTCAGAACAACTGCTGGCCATAGTGAGTAACAGTACACACCTTGCCCAAAAACTTGCCCTTCAGGTACGTGCGCGTTCTAATGTAGCCCTGCGCATCTAAATATGCTTCAAGAATCTGGTCCGGCACGACCGGTTGTGGTGTCGGCTCCTTTTTTTCCCGCTGCGCAGTCGAAGCTGGTGGCGGTGCCACTTCTTCCGGTCGATCTACACCCACGTTTTCGATTTGATTTTCGGAGTGTAGTGCGTGGCCGAGGCTCATAGTCCCGCTGCCTCGACGGCTCTGTACAAGCTTAAACCGGTCGCTATCATAAACGCGACGCGACGCGTCACTTCTCTTACGATGCCTAGCACGCATTGTAGCTGTCGTTGGCTGATTTCCGGCGATCGCTGCGTTTTCCTTGCTACCGTCTGCTAGCAGCTCAGTCAGGTCACAAGTCTGCATCGTCATAATAACTGTCGTGACCCACAGCGCTTGGTGTTTGTACCTTGGTACGATAGGGAAATATTTCAATAGTACACTAGTAATTGACATATTTCTTTGCAAGGCTCATTTTTTTACTGACAAGTTTATAGAAAAAACATGCTGAAAACAAGAATAGTGACTGATCTCACTGTCAGCCAGAACAGGGTAATCACAAGATTTGTTTCTGCCCATTGATCTGCGTTAGCCAATGCCTCGATATGATCACTCTCTGATGAGACGCTTCTGTACTAGTACGATGAACCTACGTCAGTCAAAGCACACATGACGCCACTCCGTCTGCTTAAATGTCTTCAAATGCGACGTCATTTGTGTAACAAATAATGTAGGAAATTCACGCAGCTTTACACTTTTAAAATAAAGTTAAGCAATTGTCAGCATTTACTTGTTTTTGTAGTTATCCTCTGGATAATTAAAAGATCTCTGCGTACGAATGACAAATACTGAAAATTTGATGAATTGAGCAAACGTCTCGTAATTTTAGTTCTCGAAATTTTGATACTCTAAATCACTCCAACAACGTACTGCTCATCATACCTATAAAATCAATACAGAACAGATAAAAAGTTCTCCTTTCTGCATTACTAAAGGCATATCTATGTCAGAATGTGGAACGACGACTGTCAGTAAGATACTTCGATAAATCACATAGATTTTTTTACATTGCCTCAGCACTCAGATGTTGATTCTACCATCTTCCGTTTAATGTCCGCTAGCTGCTTATTGTCGTGCGAGCTGTCGATAAACATATTCGGCTTTGACATCGTCGTACATGAAGTACGCGCGATGGTCTATGACTATAATTCCTCAGCCTGTTGCATCCCAAAGTCGACTTGCTGTCCAAGTAAAATATAAGTACAACGTTAAACGAAAAGCAGCATTCGATACCCACGAATTGAAACCGGCAAACACATTTTACGCCTTGCAACATTTCCTTCATACTCTGTGACTGACCCAGATTCCCTCATAAGTGCTTAAAGAAGCGGCATATATTTTGTTTCAGCAGGAGAATTGACCATCGTGCTCTGATGCTTGCTTTTGCGGGCCATTGTTACCGTTGATAGTATCAAACATGAAATTATGGGCAGCTAGTGTCTATCTCACCAGTTCAATTGACGTCAGCGTAAACGCTGATGCCATTCCTGGACTGAGGCAATGTCGATCACCATTTCCTCATGCATGACATAACGGTCATGGTCAATATTACACATGTTGTGTGAACCACATATTTCTGTGAATAATTATCATCAAACTATATATCCTGCTTAGTTTTATATTCCTTAATTCCGTAATATTAGAATCCAAAAGTACCGCTTAAGAAGGTTTAAGACCATAATGTATGTCACTTCACCTTTTTCCTCGTTCTCGTAGACCAGCGACTCGCTGGAAGTGAGCAACACGCGGTGAGGCGTGTGAACCGATTTAGTCTTCCTCAGTAAGCGCGTGCAATTTCGGTTACAAATACTGACAACCGTACGTAATTCGCATTGCGTTTCTGTTTAGTTGCTGATATTTACAGGTACAAAGCATCGGTAGTTATAAAGATGATAGGGCTCCTGATAGGTGAGGTACAAGGTGGTAGCCTCGCGTCGAATCAGAAAGACAGCTATCAAGACATTTAGGGAAATGTGTTCGTCTGGTTAATACGAGTCCCAAAAATATGTCACTATTGTAATTGCAAAGCAACGTAATCATCTACTTGTGGTAGATGCTCTCGGTTCCGCTCCTTGATAAACACCCTCTGCGTGTTTAATAACAATGACATTTTAAGTCGGCTATTTTTCCCTGCAAACTGCACAGCAGCACCGAAAACTTGATAGCTCATGTTTTCAATCCCACGACCGAGTCGTGAGAAGCTTTTGAAGAGAACACGAGATGATCAAGTGTCCCTCGGACAAATGGCTGTTGCTTGGAAATTTAATTTCTATGGTTGGTTTTGAAGATGTCGGGAGATTGGCAGCCCGAATGTCAATTACTGTCATTTCTCGCCTGAAGGTACTCATCAGCTATCGAATAGCGCTGGTGAACCACCCTCGGAAGTGCCACATCCGGGCGTCGATTAAAAAACAGATGCCACCAGCCGTGATCTCACTATTAACGTTTGGTCGGTCTTTCAAGGGCGAGGAAAATCTCCTGGATGAGGAAAGTTGTAAGATGATGCTGTTCACAACAGTCGCTCAAACAACAATACACACGCTTATGCGACAAGGAAGATTGCTGATGTGGAGGGGAAGGACACTTTCGACACGTCAGTCTCGACACCAGCATTGTATATCAGAAAAACATGTGTGACTTTATTAGAGATGTCACATATGCATGTGGGGGCACCACACAGTGATATCTTACGCTATAAACTCATACAATGCATGCAGAAGGTGCTTAGTACCGTCATGTAATGGCTGCCGATACAGAAATTGGGATGGGCATTTATTTGGCCATATATAATGGATGAACAGTGCATCGTGCTTGTAGTATCAAGCTAAGCGGCTGCGCATAAGAAAAAAACGATTATTTAACGGGAAGTTTCTCTACGTTACGGGCGCTCCCAGTAGGTAATATTCACGTGACATACCACAGCTCTGGAAGTCATCTAATTATTATTATTCAGTTGCAAGATTTTCTTTTAAGGCCTCAAGTTGTTCTTCTTCCTTGCAAATCCGGGCTGTCCTTTCCTCTCCACGTCGGAAATCGACACATACGCTTCAACGTGTGTGTCGTATTTGAGGGGCTTTTGTGAAAAGCGTTTTTTTAGATGCAGTTAGAACGTTTGTCCGCCCGTGACGGAAGAAAGAATTAGTGAACAATATCCAACGGTTAAAATATATTCAGGCCGGAACGTCAGCTCTATCTTTTCCGGGATAGGCATAATTTACCAGCATCACGGGAGATCTACATACAGATGCGGCTCACACCGAGACCTTATGCGCCCACCCAACTTATATCATGAACACAGTGATAGCTGTGTTGAATGCAGCGCGCAACAACCGATTCACAACTATCGGTAGGGGTGTGGATACCTCGGTCGATTAAAACGCGGTGGCTATGCGATAGACGCTCTGTGAGCGAGCTTGGAGCAAAAGATATTTAAGTAATGAGATAAAATCGGGCTGTCGAACCGGATTTTAGTATTCACAGATACTTTACCTGTGGGACTACCCAAAAATTGCCCCCTTCGTGTCCCTTGTCTCACAGCTGAGCCACGCAATGACAGCCCGAAGACCATTTATAAAAAATGTATTCCAGTAGGCGCGATATGGCCTATTGAAAAAGAATGAGTCTATTGGACCCGTCAAGAGCGAGTTAAAAAAATATCAGCTTTTCAACAAGCAAATCTCGTAAAGAGATGATACTACCAACGATTTGTCGGTCGTTGACAACAGCGTCCCGGCCTTTGTGAAAACATGGAAATCCCTGTTAGATATAGAAGCATCGTGCAATCGTGTGCAGTGGATGAAAATAGTAGACAGTGTGCGAAGACAACGAGAAACCGATACCCGATACCATATTTAGTAATTTCGCGGTTTAAAAATTCTAAAAGGTGTCAAAAATCGTTTTGGGGCTTGTATAAATTCTAAGAATCTTGGTAGCGTGGTAATGTGTAATTTAACGTATCGTCTAGATTCCATTTCTTGCCCCGGCTGAAGCATCATAAGCCATGGATCTGTGGAAGCTCAAAGCATTGGGCGCCACGCGGTAAAGGTTTAGTGTTTTGTGAATGCATATTTGCTATAAAGTCGTCAGTTTTTTGCGCTTGTATGAATGTGCGGTCAATTCGTTGATGACATTGGATTGTACAATTAGCAGCAATATTGTTAACTGCCTTGAGCGAAGCTCAAAAGGCAGAGGCAGCTGCAGACTCCCTAGTATATCTGAAGGAGACGGAAATTCGCGATGGCTACACGCCGTTGCAAATTTTGATCAAATTGGGTTTCTAGAAGCTACCTCATGTGGGACTGAAAAGCCGACAATATGTAGTTGCCTCGTGGACTTTACTCTATACAGTAAAGAGCAACACAGTACGTCGAACTACATGTCAATCTAGGTGTGTGTGCTTCGCGAGTACGAGTTTCAGGTCCTTATGTCATTAAGAAGGAGTCTACTATGTCACAGTATGTCAGTTCAGCTTGGCAACAGTGTTCAATTGTGTACCAACCGTGTGGGGTAGAGATACTACTATAGCTTGGGACGTGCAAGCTTATTCACTCGTGATTGAAGTCACCAAAAACAATTTACTAGTCCTTCATCACTACCCTCTGATTAAGGCTCTCGAGCCGCTCAAGTAATAATTGTGAGGGAGTGTGTAGAAGAAAACTCAAGAATATGAATCGCCGTAATTTGGTTTTAGGATTAGTTGCTCAGTTCATATTCGGCATCGATGATCTTGACGTTGCGGGCACTCACTGCAATGAGTGGTGTGGCTATCATTAAGGGTCTGATGTTATGGATACGTCTATGGTCCTTACCACAAAGCAGTGTGACAATGTATACGCTTCATATCGTGCAAAGCATGAAGTGGGTTAAATGAGAGAGTAAATGCCGCTACTCGATGTCGACAAATTGTGTCAGAAAGGCTAACGGCGATAAACAAATCGCGGATGTTTACAACGAGCTAGAAGCTGCCACATCCACAGCGTAAACGCCCATTGTTACGATGGATGTACTGCATAGCATCATTACGCTCGTACTTTGTAAAGCGCTCTTGATCTAGTTGATGGGTATATTCAACTGCTCACGAGAGTCCCCCCATTGCAGAAGGTGCTTAAAGTGGGATACTCTAACAGTCCTCAATCATTGTCCAACATACAGCACGTCTGGTAAAGCAGCTATTTATGCTGCATCGTGCATTCGCGTGGACGGATTTTGATAATCTATACGTCCACAGTCATGCAGATCAAGGCATGGGCTGTGGTTTTCCTATTGAACATTTGCGAGCTGTGATCAAATAGTGATGCAAATAGGCGGTTCGCCAGTAAGGATAAATGCGTCTTTATGGCTGACAATATTTGACTTTGATATGATTCGTTGAGAAGCGTGGCTAGGGTATGCATCACAAAGAATTTATGTAATAGCCAATGGACATATTGCTATACCAGAGGGGAATAATGGAAGTGACTCAGTTTTACTAATTCCTTGCATTAGCTCGGTACGAATATAAAATCGTGACACCGTCGCCAAGGAAGCCAAATAGTGCTGGAGTGTGACAGACAAAGCAGTCTTCTTGGCAACAATAGAAGCGTCATATGTGCCACAATTTTTGTCCTAGCCAATCCGGACTGCGATTTTCAGGCGGTCTGTGGCACTCGATCCTCAATATAGGCTTTCATTCAGCTCCAGTTGTCATTATGGGGATGAGCGCGTCATCGTGCTTGCACTCGTAAGTTAATGCGTCAATAAGCACAGCGACATCTTCGCCCTATCTCACGCATGGCAAGATCGTTATATTTCTTTGCCAAATGTGCTTATAGCATAAAACACAAGTCGAGTCTACTAAATGAAGTAGCAGACGCATTTCTGTGCTCCCCGACGAAATGAGCTTTCACGCATTCCCATGATGAAGTTGCGCTTCGACGAGGCAATATGTAACGGAGTTACACGCACCTTGGTATGAAGAGTTGGGTCACTCAATATGGTGTGACCACACAACAGGGTGGCTACACCTTAACAAGAAGTCACTGCGTGGCTGGACTGCCAGTAGTTATGCATTTTCATTAGGTTTTATTGTTTGATTAGGATAACCTATAGATTAAGATATAGGCACTTTGCCGCAAATAAAACAAAGATACACAATCTACATTTTGAGCGGAAGATTTTGTTTGCCTTGTGTTAAGATTGTGGGTATTCTTGACGTAAGCGGATTGCGATCCGCTACACTCGTACTGGTTCTAAGTATAGAACGAAGGTCACCGACCTTAGCTTAGCTTCGTCTTAGCGAAAAAGCTACGGCAGCCTCGCTGCACGGCTTTTATGCACGATCCGTATTCAAGATCATGGGGCTAATCGAAGCTGGGCCCTGCTGATCTCTACCTCTTTGAGACTCAGCAGACATCAGTTCATTCCCACTGTGTCAGCAAGCGTGTGAAAATCCAAGCCCTCAAAACTAAATGATATTTGCTTGGAGATTGGCTTCGAACTATGGACGATGATGAGGTGCTACTGGCAGCGATTCTCATCGAACGATCATAAAGTTAATTTCATCTTTTTGAGACCTCTTGGCCGCTCAATAAGTGCCACATGATTGATTAAATCACAGTCTTTCGTAGCAGAGCCGTGGCCTTGTAGCGTACGGGCCCGACGACATAAAGCCTTTGAAAGTAAAGAAGCAGCTGGTTCGACTGTAAGCTTGACCGGCACAAAGGTTCTACAAGTATGGTAGTTTCCTTATTGTCCAACACTCGGGTTCCAGGGTTGAAATGGAGTTAAATCATTCCTAACATATTTATCAGTATTTCAGTAATGTCATACACAAGAGTGTGATGATGAGTGCCGCAAGTTATTATTAAGGAAGAATGGTTCCCAACTCGATAGCACAATAAAGGCTCATAAGCATTACGAAAAGCTCTGGTCCTGCTCCCAAGCTGAATTATTGCGAAAATGCGTTATAAATTCAAACTTGTACTATTGTCACAGTGAAAAAAAGTTGAATTCCAACGACGAAAACCTTCGCTAAATCCCCGGCGTTGAAGAACAGTATCCAGTACCTGTCAGTTGACACTGTCAGAAGCCTCCGCAAATTTGAGGCAAATGGCATCGGCAAGAACTCGAGATTCACAACTGTTACTGTAATATTAGATATGTAAGAAATGCCGTAACATATATGGATTTGTACTTTCATAATTTTAAATGCCATGGGACCGCAGTTATATTCTAATTATGCTCTAGGCCTTCTAGCTTATGAATGCTAAAGGAACGTGCAATTATTATGCTTTAACAAGGCTGAACCCATGGCTATCTCAATCGGTCGCGTCCGAAAGTGGGGCCTTTCCAATCTTGTTCTTAGAAATCATTGCGCCGAACAGAAGCGTGCTCGCTGTATAGAGCTCTGTAATAGTGAGGATAATTTCTCCAACGTTTGACTGATACATTTCTGGTGTCTCAAAAACGAGAAGAGAAGAGAAGAGAAGAGAAGAGAAGAGAAGAGAAGAGAAGAGAAGAGAAGA